CCCCCAGCACCCCCCCTACAGCCCCCCCAGAGATGCCCCAAAGACCCCTTAGAGACCCCCTAGTGCCTCTCAGAGACCCCAGCCTTCCCCTACAGCCCCCCCAGAGATGGCCCAGCAGCGCCCCCGAAACCCCAGGCCCCCCCGAAGCCCCCCACCTTCCTCTTGAGCAGCCCAAGGCGCATGGCCTTGGTGTCGGCAGCGGCGTAGGTGAGCCAGAGCCCGCTGGCCACGTGCTGCACAAAGCAGAGGGACTCCCCGTACTTGATCTCGGGGGTCCCCATCCCCTCCACGTCCCGCTTGGCCACCACCTCCAGTTTCTCCTGTTTGGGGGGGAGAGGGGGGTGTCAGGGGACCCACAGGGGGACCGGGATGGGGACAGGAATGGGGACCGGGACTGTCACAGGGACAGGGATGGAGACCCACTCATGGGACTGGAATGGAGACCAGAATGGGGACCCACGTGGGGACCAGGACCTTCACGGGGACGGGGATGGGGACGGAGACCCACACAGGGACCAGGATGGGGACAGGGATGGGGACAGGGACTCACACAGGAACCAGGATAGGGACCTACATGGGGACAGGGACCCACAAGGCGACTGGGATGGGGACAGGAATGGGGACCAGGACCTTCACAGGGACAGGGATGGGGACCGGGACCAGGATGGGGACTGGGATGGGGATGGGGACCAGGACCTTCATGAGAACAGGGATGGGGACAGCGACCCACATGGGGACCGGGATAAGGACAGGAATGGGGACCGGGACCTTCAGAGGGACAGGGATGGGGACAGGGACTCACACAGGAACCAGGATGGGGACCTACATGGGGAAAGGGACCCACAAGGGGACTGGGATGGGGACAGGAACAGGGACCAGCATCAGGCTGGGACCAGGACAGGGACCAGGATGGGGACAGGACTGGGTCGGGGACCAGGACAGGGATGGGACCAGGATGGGAACCAGCCTGGGGACAAGGACCAGGATGGGGACCCAAACGGGGACAGACCAGAGACCACTCCCCACCCCAGGGCACCAAGTGCCTGAGTGACCCCATCCCTTGGGGACAACCAGACCACCCCACGCCCCCTGACACCAGGTCCCCCCCCTCGCCCCGGCTGGACCCCCCCATCCCCGTCCCTGTCTCCCACCTTAGAGGCACGGAAGCAGAAGGCGGAGGCGCGGGTGTTGGCGGCGGCCGCCTCCACCACGGCCAGACCCTTGTCCTCCGTCAGCGCCAGGTAACGTCCCGTGGTGACGTGTCGCAGGCGGAAGGGCTGGCCCCACTTCAGGTGGCTCCCACTCCAGCTGGGGGGGACACACGATGGGTCACCGGGGGTCAGGGCACACAGGGGTGGGTGAGGGGGACACGGGCATGGGTGATGGGGACGTGGGGATGGGTGATGGAGACACAGGGATGGGGATGAGGACACGGGGATGGGTGATGGGGACGTGGGGATGGGCATGGGGATGTGGGGACACAGCATCAGGATGCAGGGATGTGCCACGGGCTCACAGGGATGGAGGGGACACAGGGTGGGGATGCAGGGGTGGGACACAGGGACATAGGGATATGGGGGACGCAGCGTGGAGATGCAGGGATGGGACTTGGGGACACGGGGGATGCAGTGTGGGGACACAGGGATGGGTCATGGGGACCCTGAGAAGGCAGACTAGGGATGCAGGGATGCAGCGTGGGGACACGGGGATGCTTCACGGGGACCCCCAGGATGCAACGTGGGGATGCCAAGCCAACAGGCTGGGCTGCAGGGTCACCTCGGGGGGCTGTGACATGGGCACAGCAATACGAGGGACCCCCCCCACACACACACCGGGACCCCCCTCCCCAATACCTGATGCGCAGGGGCTCCAGGCGCCAAAGGGACCGAGCGTGGGTGCAAACGGCTCCTCCCTCGTAGTTCACCACACTGCTGTGGGGACGTGGCCCGTTGGAACACCAAGGGGACGGGGACAGGGACCCCCTGCCACACACCCCACCTCAGGGAGGGGGGAAACCGAGGGTCCGGACCCCCCCACCTGCGCTCCTCGCCCTGCTCTGGCGCGGAGGTGGTCAGACACTCGTCCATGTGGCCGTGGAAGAGACGCATGACGTGGCCACCCGTCACGTAGCCTGGGGACACCCAAAGAAGGGGGGGTGTCGGGGTGGGGGGGGACGACCCTAGGGTCCACTTCACCCAACTTGGGGTGTCGTCGTCCCCCCCCAGTCCCACCAGCACCCACCTTCCTCCGAGCCGGAGCAGATGGGGTTCATGTTCCAGAGGGTTTGCATGAAGGAGGCGTCCGCCTGCAGCTCCCCGCTCGCCGTGGAGAGGTGCTGGGGACACGCGTGTCACGGGGGGACACACACGTGTGTCACGGGGACACACACGGGTGTCTAGGCCTGTGAGACACCCCCCCCCAACACATGGACCCCCCCTTGACACGCATGCAAGGTCTCGCGTGAGGATGGGGAGCCCGGAGGAGCAGAGCACGGCTCAGTGGTGCACACTCGCACGGCCCTTGCACGCTGGGGTTCACTCGTGCACACACATGGCCCTTGCACGCTGGTGCTTGCGCACGCAGCCCTTGCACAGTGGGGCTCACTCGTGCACACGCTTGCACGCTGGCGCTCGCTCCTGCACACGTGCAGCCCTTGCGGGCCGCAGCAGGCTCGCGCACACACGAGGCCCCCGTGCACCAGTGCTCGCTCGTGCGCGTGCAAAG